TGATGTCAAACACACTCACTGTGCCCCTCTCCTCCTCTCTGTACAGGCCTGCCCAGTTGACCACAGTGGGGAAGCGAGCGTGTCTGTGGCTGCAGGATTTGGTGATGGATGTGAGGAACCTGGAGCGAGCTCGCGATGATCTTCATTTCCGTGGAGTCAAGGGGACCACAGGCACCCAGGCCAGCTTCCTGCAGCTCTTTCAGGGGGAACATGACAAGGTATAAACAACCATAAGAACCACGTGGGCGATTTCTGAAGTCCCACAGCACCGTATTGTGATGACTTTTTAATGTCAGTTTTCCTTTTGTGCCACCAGGTGGAAGAGCTTGACAAGATGGTGACAGAGATGGCTGGCTTTAAGAAGTAAGTATCAAACTCCTGTCTCCAACATTGACTGACACATATTTTTTTAATATGGTCCAAGCAGGAACAGTTTGAAACACGGGCTATAACTAATTTGTTCCATTCTTATCCAGAGCCTACCTGGTGACTGGACAGACGTACAATTGTAAAGTGGACATAGACTGCCTGTCTGCGCTCGCTGGTTTGGGAGCTTCTGTGCACAAGGTGAGGAAATGTCTCCATTTAGTGGTGGTTAAAGAAACTTGGGTCTTGAGCTTCAAAAAGCTGATCTAACAGAGTGTACACTTTATGCTGTTATCTGCTGTAGATCTGCACAGACATCCACCTGCTGGCCAGCCTAAAAGAGATTGAGGAACCTTTTGAGAAGGAGCAGATTGGTACGTTCGCTCATTCAAAAGCACTTTTTACCTGTTAAACTGTGCCTCAGCCTAAAGCTTTGCCCGCTCCTCTTCCAGGTTCCAGTGCTATGCCCTACAAGAGGAACCCCATGCGTGCCGAACGCTGCTGTAGCTTGGCCCGACATCTGATTGCGTTGATGGCCGACCCCCTGCAGACTGCCTCAGTCCAGTGGCTGGAGAGGACACTGGATGACAGCGCCAACAGGTCAGACCACAAAGACACACTTACACTGCTGTGAATTTGGTATGATGCAGTTCTCCTCTGTGAAGTAGATATCACAAAAATGTAGAAGCGTACAATATGTAGTAGTGAACAATGATTCTCAGTTACGAGTGTTGCTTCTGCATCAGCAAGGTCTTCTTGTTAAAAAATTAAAGACTTGAGAGGAACAAAGAATCCTATAACTGAGAGAACAAAAGCTTAACATTTTACAATTGTATGGTAGTATGGAAGAAGTAAAATTGTTGGTTAAACATAATGTAAAAATAGCTGAAATATTAAAAAAGTTGAATAGTTCAATAGTAAAAAAAAATAAGATAAACCAAGGTGAAACAGTTGTGTTCACTGCTAAATTAGTGCTAATATGATTTCCTTCCTCGCTAGTCTCAGTAACCGTGGATCGGTCCATCCTGGTTTCCGCCCTTGGCCACTGCCTGGAAAACACTGCACCTGACCCCTAAGGTGCCTCCTGCAGGTGGTGGGCCTAGAGGAGGGTGGGTCCATTTCTCCTCTTCGGGG